TTCCCTCCCTCTTCTGCTAGGCTGTACCAAACCCTGCTGTTTTACGCCTAGGTTTTGCTGTACTCCAGGAATATGCAAACTGCACAGATGGCCATGCAAAGGGGCAATATTGGTATTCAAGGTGTTGCCCCCTTCCTGAAGCGAGGAGGAGCATGAGGGAGCAGGCCAGTACTTCTCTGACACCGTGTTTTTCCTTGCAGGGATGAGGGCACGCTGTGCATCTGCTTGCTCTCGGCTGAGCCTTCCCAAACAGCTCTGTTACGTGGGCACAGGAGCAGCAGCGCCGCGCTGAAGGAAAGGCAGCCAAGGAAGTGGGGTTCATAAAATAACGCTTACATGACATGGCTGCAACAATAGTGCCTGTATTTCCCAATCTGTACGACAAAGCTGATGAAAGAAGTCATTCAGGGTGTGTTGCAGCCATGGACCGCTGGGACAGGAATAGCAATAGTGGGCAGGAGAAGGGCAACCTTCCTAAAAGACTCTAGGTCCCGATTAGGAGCATGTGAGTCCATGCTCCCCGGCTCCCTTTTGCTCATGCTCTGGCATCCGGGTTTGAAGCAATTGCCTTAAAAGTAAATTTCTTACATGACCAGAGATGTATTCTGTTCAGCTAAGGTAGAAATCTGGAATAAATTTGTCCATGCCGTTTTGTGGACTTGTGGTGTAAAGCATCCGAATTTTGCTTCAAGCATGATGGGAGTAACAGTTCTTACTTAATTCGAATGAGTGTTTGATTCATAGTTTTAAATATGTTTGTGCCTCATATGGCCTTAACTTTGACTCATCCTCCCAGGTGAAAAAGATAATTTAATTCCATTAAAAAAAAATGTTGAATTTGCTTGTAATAGTTAAGCGGCAGTCTTAAATGACTTCTCAACCAAACAAAAGTACATCGTTACATCCTGAATTTAAAATGAACGGGCCTCTTGTCACCTGGTATGATTTCTCGTTCAGCATCACTGCTTATAATAAATGCCGGTTTTTCTCCTCTTCTAAATGATGTGAATAACAATCCCCTCCCTGTCTCATCCCTGGACAGGTCATGGGTATTTAGCCACTAAATTTCTGTACCTCAGGAAATTATGCTTCCAGAACATCTTGTTTATATATTTTCTAAACTGTTGCACTTTCCTTAAAATGATGAATGTCAGCAACAGCTGGACTGTATGTGATTGAATTTCACCTTGTCTCCATTCCCAGAACCCTGCTTCCATATGGAGTTCAGTAAAGCAATATCTAAAAGCATGGGAGTAGGGATAAATATGCACTCTAGACATGATGAGTTCATTGTGTTTGCCTTGAGCCCTAACTTGTTCTACATTCGTAACTTTCAGTATTTGGGCATGCATCTTGCAAAGCACTGGTTTTGTTTGCTTTTGCGGCCACCATGATTCATCTGTTGTTTTCTGTCTTTTGTCAATTGGTTTGGAACTTTGTTTTACACATGCACGGAAAGATTTTGGATCTTACCTTTCTCTGGAGCACCACCAATAATGACTTCAATTGGATGTAGTGTGTGCTGTAATATAAATGGGTGCAGATCCAAATTCCCCAAATATGATAGTGGCTTGGAAATCCAAAATGCAGCCCTCAGTTTAACCAAGGCAAATACTTTCTAACGGGATGGATCAAGCCCTCCGAATGGCAGTACGCTCTGAGGTATCTAGCATGGAGGGGCATTGTTTTCAGTTGCTGTGTATCCCTTTCCTAGCTTGTACAGAGTAGATCACTAGATGCATAGATCAGATCAAGTAGCTTCATATGACTAAGCTGGGTAGTTAATATTTTAGGACCCTTGTTGATATTAAAAGCTTACCATAATGCAAGCAAAACAGTTTGCCGAGCGTATAACTGTTCTCTTAACAAATCACTTTTGAGTGGGCATCTATACAGTTTTGTGGCACAGTGGACACGTGCTTTTGTGAAGGTTTATCCTTAACAGTGATAACCCCCACTAGCCCCAGGCCTCTGGCATTGTACCTGGCCTGTGTTTAGCAAGTCCAAGGATTTTGCGGGTTATCTTCCTATTTCAAGATTAAACTCTTTCTAGCAGCAGCATGACATTATCTCGTGGCTGGGGGAGTTGCTTAGGTTCTCTTCTATAGAATTGCTTCCCAAAAAGTTCTTCCCTATACTGCATTTGTAGGACTTGCACAGTTTGTAGCATTATAGTTGAGTCGTCTTACTCAAATATGATGCTTGCCCATGTCTTTTTACCCCATCCCAGCTTTTATCTTAAACCCCATCACTAATTTGAAAAGATCAAGTGTATGTGCCTCCTCCCAGGTCAGTGTGTCCGTATAGGTAATAAAAGATGCTTGCTATTTTGTCTTTTGCTCGTAGAGATATTGAATAGTACTAGGCATAGGGATAACCCCTTTGAAAGCCTGTTCAGTGCATCCTTCCCTGTTTCAGGGGAACTCCCACTCACTGTGGGAGTTCAGGAGGCAGGCATGATGCTACTTGGTTTGGGTAACTCCTTTCTTACCCGCATCTGCAGCTGGTTGGTTTTTGCTGAATACTGTTTGATAATGTGCCCTACTTGGCTCCTGTGCAGAAGGTCTGTAACGTGCACAGATGATCTAGTTACCTCTTGAGGAATTCAGTGCTGCTCTTATGTATTGAGCAACGGGGTAGAAGTAAATGCTGAGATCAAAGTTTGGGTTGTCCTCTGCTTCTACACCATAGTAATCCACCAGCAGATCTTTGTAGAACTTGGGTCCAGTGTCAATGCGAAATCGCCCAGCAGCAGCATTCACAACATGGGAGATGCCCATTCGGCTCAGCTGTGCTTTGTCACGAGCGACGTACCTGGAAGGAGGACGATGGGTTATATTCGCCTGATGCATTACAATGCAGGGTAGAACATGCTGATGATGGTGCAGTTTGTTAAAAACACGTAAAGTTGTAGTGGCTATTTTCTGACAGGTTGTTCAGGTCCAAAGTGTCCACCAAAGTGCTTCAAGACAGAAGTGGCTTGTTAAGAAAGTGACTTTTAAATTTCCTGCATTTTTCTTCCAAATATGTTTAGGTTCTTCTTCTCAACTGACAAAAAATAAAAAGGTGGTGGTGGTGATATTTCTGCACAAGCCAAGAGATTTCTGGTTTGCCTTCTCACCAAGTCACCTCTGCTGAGCATCCATCAGTTCTGGGGACTGATGCCATCTGGCAAGGTGAGGAGAAAAAAATGTTGCTCCTGTTTTACCTAGCTCTGGCATGACTGCCTGCAGTACTGACGCTACAGCCCCACCAGGCTGTTACAGCATGGGGCTCCTGTACTAATGCAGGAGGAGAAATCAGGAGGAGGAATATTCTTTTTGGTTGCTTAGAATGGCTTTCCTCTATGCTACAGCATCCTGTGCACAGTTCACCCTTACCCAACACTTAGGTTGACTATGAGGGATCCCCAAATCAGCACCTAGCTCTCTTTTTAAATAAAGAGAGGAAGATTTCGGGGGAAGTAAGGTGGGGGCTAAGAGTTACGTTAACACCTTCAACACTTCCCTTTCTCTTACAGGTCTCCCACGTAAAGGTTTGGCCAGACTTCGTCCACATGCCCCGTGGGGTGTCCGCGTGTCCAGAGCAGGCGCCGCAGCTCCTCCAGGGACGGTGTTTCGGCGCTGCGCTGGCTGCCCGGTGTCCGGCTTGAGGCACTCCTTATCGTGGGGCGCAGTAAGTCCCTGCTGCACAGGGAGTCCCAGGCCATCCTGAAAGGTGGAGTGCAGACATTCACCACCAGCCAGACACGTTTCTGAGGTCACCCTCTCTTCCTCTAACCCTCCCTCACCCCCTCACAAAGCTTGCCCGCAGTTACAGTAGTAAGCTTTTTGGAGCAGGTACTGTTGTCCTCTTGTGTATTTATGTGCTTATCACAGCAGAGACCATGACTGGACTTGGGAATACTGTTGAAATATAAACAACGAGAGTCCAGTGGCTCACGTATTCCCATGTTGTGATTCAGACAAGGATTTTGAAGCCTGTGCTTCTTAAATAATGTTTCATATTATTATGGCAAATTGGAAGCTAAAGCTTTTTCAAACTACTAGGCTTATGACCTCAGTAGGCTTATTTTGACCCGACTACTCAACCCTTCTTTCTAGGTATGTCAAACAGTCTATTAAAACTCCAGTACTTTTTTTTTTTTTAAAGGTTTTTTTTCATAGCAGTATGAACTTTCCCGCTTCCTATTTGGAATTCTAGACACCATTACTACTGCAGTAAAACAGACTAGTCCTCAATATGCCAGCACGAGAGTTCTGCTCTCGAATGGAAAGAATGAAGAATGCTACAGAAAATGTATTGTGTAAGTGTAGCTACGTAGTGGGTATAGAAACAAGTTATTAATTTGGTATGCTGAGCTTTTCCTTTAACCACATAACTAAGACTTGCTTATATGTACTTCATCTGATTTGTCTTTTATAATTTGCTCAATGAGCTGAGCTGAAGAGAATTGGTCATGCAAAATCTTATTCACTGGTTAGCTCTTAATTGTCAGCTTCAACAGGAGAATTTTGGTTCTTTCCAGTGGTAGTTGCCAGCCATACTTGTTGTCCTGATGACAAATGTTCACGGTAGAAAGAACCTGCATGAGTAAGTTACAGTGATTTCAGCTGCCATTTATATGAGCATTAACGTATTTTTTAATAGGTTGTTTCATTTGCATTCATCTCCTCCCTGCCCCCTCCAAGAACTATCCCATTTCTTATCTTGCAGTAAGTACTTTTATTACAAGAAGAAACACTCTTTTTAGGCTTCAATTTATCTCTGGAATTACTCTGTTCCTATGTGGTACATTTCTTTTGAAATAGCAGTTCCTTGTGTTAGCCGTAGATTTGAACTGCTGGGAGGATTTTTGAAGAGGGTAATAGAAGCTTTATTTTTATCAGAGTTATGTTTTAAGAAATTATTAAAAATGTATATATTTTTCTATGTTCTAAGATTTAGTTGAGTACCTGCATTACAGAGATATTAGAAACTCTGTCAACTCGAGCAGCTTTAGAAAAGAAGCATCAGACTAGCACAGGGGTGAAGTTGTAGTCAACGAGTTAAAATCTTCCTCTGCCACTGACTGTGGAATGTCTTTTGCATAAAAGAAGGGTGGTTTGGGCTAGAGCAGTACAGGACAGCAAACCTGAAATCTTCTATCTTTCTGCTGAACAACTATTATTTACAAATAGGTTGTATTCATGTTCAAGCACCTCCATTGGCAGTTGCTTTCCAACCAGTAACTGTGGTGAAAGGTTTTCCTAATTTCCCATCAAGGCACTTTCACTAGCCCTAAGCTCACATTTTGGTGTAATTTTGTTTAAAAATAGTTGTCTTTGCATGCACAAAGACAGAGTCTGAAGACTACCCTGCTTTGGGAGCTCGTTGCACCTTTATATTAATCCATTGTTTTGCTGAAGGGAAAATGGAGCAACTAAGTCCCTAAACGTCCACAGAAATGAAGGAGGGAAGTGGTGACTGTTGTGTCAGTGTTAGGCCACTGAACGTTGACTAGAAGCCACTCTTCTGCTGTGCACTTGGATGATCTGCCTTGCCACCCGGCTGCCAAGAAGGGCCCCCTCTTCTGTCAGTACACCTTCTTCTGCCACCTTCACAGGCAGCCTTGTCCTCTTGAATACAGTAAGTTTTCACCATCTAATGATGTTCCCAGGATGCTCTCGTATTGTTTGTATTACGAAAAGCTCCACTGTGGAATGTACTCTCCTCCCAAATGTGCATATCTCCTCCAGTGTCAGCTTTTACTGTGAAAACAAAAGCAGATGTTCTTGCCCATTTTGGACGGCTTTATGCAAGAGGAGGCACGGAGGAATTCCCATACTGGAACGGGCATTCCCTATCGATTTTGATAGCTTCTTTGACACTGCCTACTGCTCCAGGTCTGCTCGTCTCCCACTGGTGATCTCAAACACCAGCGTGACTTCTCTGATCCCACACAGGAGGTCTGCAGCAGAAATGGGACTTGCATTTCCTGTGTCCTGACCACAGGGCCATCTGCCAGTTCGTTAAATACTTTCAAGAATAACAGCCTCCTCCAATCCTTCCCACCTCATAATATCTGCAGCAAATGTTCCCCTTTTTTGATGTGTATCGTTCCTTGCAGTGTGGCTAATGACCACTCTAGGGCACTTCTCACTCCCTATAAAGTTGCTTTCAACTGTTTGGGGTTTTTTCTTATTTACTACTGCCTGTTATCCCTTCCTGTCACCCTCTCCACTGTATAAATACTTTGATTTTCATATTACCTAGCCTTAGAAGACTGAAGGCTGCTGTCAGCTCTGCTTTTCTAAGCCTCACAGGAGAATTGCCGGGCACTGCCCAAAAGTCCTGGTAATGTTGCAGTGTTCAGGCTGTCATTAAGATGGGGAGGGACAGGCAGCTGTGCTTTCCAGATCCATAATTTCATTCCTGTAACAGCTGGGTGGACAACTCTGAAGTATATCACACCTTAGGAAAAGTACTCCTTCAGAGATTTTTTTTTTTTTTTAAATTGTCTTTCTAGAAGGGAATATAACTGCATAGGCTTGGCAGAAGAAGGTAGTATGTGCTACGTGGATATTGGAAGTTGTAAAATAATGGTCTTTATAAGTGAGTGTCTTAAAAGTGGTCTTTAAGGTGTGCTTCTTCAGAATTATCCTAAGATGACTTTCAGCTTGTGCTCATATTGATCTTGTATAATAGCTAAGGAATTTACTCCTGTTGAAACACAGACATGAGCTCTGATGCTGTGTACAAAACTTATTCCATCTGCGTTCTGGTCACATTTGTTTAACTGGAGAACAGCATCAGTCCATGTAAACTCTATGTCCAATAAAAACGAAGGACTGGGGCTCAAATTTCAAATGTGAAATAATTGGAACTAACAGGCTGTGAATGATTCAAAAGCAGAGAATTCTCTGTAGGACTATTCAACTAATAGGTTGAATAATGAATACACTGAAAAAATAATAGCTTTCCATAGAAAACTTGCGGGAAAACAAGGTAATTTTTTTCTGAATAAATGACTGCTCAGTTCTAGCATCAGTCTAACATTTTAGCTCACTAAATTTATACATGCAACTGTCATTTACTGAAATCCACATATTTAAAGAAAACAATGCCATGATTAAAATTTTGTGTAATGTTTTATAAGGAACATGAATAGATTAAAACAAATTAGTGTGAAAGGAAAATGATTGTATGTAATAATGTCTTTCTTAATTTTAAAAATATGTTTTTAATGATTCTCAGCTCAGTTCCTCTGTATTTTCTTTTTGTAGCGGATCTGTTTCTGTGAAGTGTGTCGTATGAATGAGCAATACAATTTTAAAATGCTGGTTTCTGAATGATATTTGTCTGAAACGTTCCTGATCTTTGCCCTACTGGGGTTGTATTGCCGTAATTATTCAATCACGTAGGAGAAATTTTACCATTATATTTAGATTAATTTTGAATTGGTTTGTACTACAACTGTAATTGTATCTGAACTGTGTAATAGAATTTCCTTAATTATGACTAGCGGGAGAATTGCAATCAAAGAGGCCTGTCACAGAGCAGAAGTTCATTTTGATCATCTGGAGTGACCTAGAGTATGACACAGGCCGTACGTGTTACCATGCCATGCCTGCATATGTAGCCCCCTTTCTGGAAACCCATTAGTGACTTTGCTGCAGTTGGGCTACAAGAGTGGCCAGGCCAATGCTTCCTTATATATGGAATATCTCAGGAAGAAAGGAAAGTGGTCCTGTGAGAGCTCACAGAGAATATCTCCTTCCTGAATGTTTAGGCTTCCTCTTTTCCCATCAAGTCCCTTTGGACTGCGTATACTGTGGATGCTTTAGTTGTTTTCCAGTTAATTCAGTGACTACAGCTTTATCTGTAACTCAATTAGTGCTGTTCAGTGCCATGCTGAGGAGAGGGCCTTTAGAGACAGGTGTCTCAGACCTTGGAAACATGTGCCACCTTTTATCCAATTTCTGCAACACCATAGTATTTTATCAAATAAGAACAAACTCAAAAGTCAGTGTAATTTCACAATTTTGGCATTACATTGGTATGAGATCAAGCTGAGAAGGTGGTGTGAAATCTGAGATGGGGCGACACGAAACCTTGCATCATGATGCTGTGGAAAGTTAAGAGGAAAACCCAAGTCTTGTGTCTAGGATATTTAGTAGAAAGCCTTTATATCCTCTGCTTTTCCTTGCATTTTCCAATGCCAAGAGAAAAGAAGGATTTGAGTATAACATAAAGATGTTAATGCTCTCAATTCAATGATGTAATGAATATTTTAATCATCCCAGGCATTGTGTATGGGTAGAACATAGCCACGTTCCTCTGGCTTTAGTGAAAATATTTCTGAATTTTTAAATCCTGAGGGAAAAAAAATGCTCTACATCCTGTTTTTTCTTAAGCTGGTATGTGCTGTACCCTTGTCGTCTCAGTGAAGATATCAGTCTGAGTGCATTTCAAATAGACTGTTTGATTTGTGGTGGTAAAAGACCAGGCTGAAGCCCAGGACTTGGCCAAAGTAGGTCGTGTCAAGTTCATGCCTATCGTGTATTCAAAAGTCATAAATGTTTCTCAGAAAGCCTATCCCTTGGAAAGATTCCTCCAAGATAACATATGTTTGAGAGAGGGTTTTGTGTTGCTACATCTCCACACAAATGACAAGTATTACTGTCATCATTCTTTCTTCCTTGGTCTTTAACCCAATAGTCTTTCTGG